TAAAGCCAATATCAGCGCATTTGCTGATTCAGTCGTCTAAAGATTATTACTTCTAAGGCAAGTAAGTCGGCGTCACCTTTTTAAGGCAAAATAAGTAAAATAGCATAGGATAAAGAAATTGCTAATAATTTTGAATTACAAACCATTTTTCGTGGCTGAGGCAAAATAGCTTTTGCGGTTGAAGCTTTAGAGACGATGTGTATTTTTCTCCGTCCATATTTCATCATTAACTACTGCCAAATACATGCTTGGCATCTACCAAGCAAATATAAAGCAAACCAGATGTGGAAATATATTTAGCGTTTTCCATTAACCAGTCAAACACTTCGTAGTCCTGCTCGAATACCATTTATGGCGGAGATCATACTAGCTGAAATGCTTGCCTGCATGAGGGTCGATCCTCAAACTGGGAGTCACCACGACAGCAATCGCTGCTTACGTACTGCGGATGTCTGAGTGATCCATCTGTACACGCCTATCTTTGGTTATTTTGAGAGTAGTTAGCAATGCAACCTCCCCTCCAATCACATTTGCTTTACTCACCCCTCCTCAACGCCGCTGTACGGTCCACGACTAGTTCCTTGGGGGCAGAAAAGTGGTGGATTTTCCCTGGTCTAACCTCCCACTTTTGCTGCCAAGACGGAAATGCAACCTCCACAGGCTTGAGAGGCTCTGTTTTCGAATGTGTGTATCTAATGCCATCAGACGCTTACGAAGTCGCCGCAGACGCTTTTGCACACTCATCTGCATTCATCCGTGATGACACCTACTCCAAAATTGCATCTGCTAAGTATCTGGTTGGAAAACTCTAGTTTGCAACATTTGGCAGCACAGAATTCTTACCACCGATCCGACAAAGCTTAAAGCACCACTTGGTCGTCACTTGATGGTGATGGAGAGTGTAGCACAGATTAAGTCTACTACAACAGCCACACAATCCGTAGGCAGCGTTGCATACAGCACGATGAAGTTCCATCCCAGCCTTTGCCCCCTGAGACGAACTGCCTTCCCTCCAGCCCGCTTTTGGCAATGCACCGCATCACCACCATCTGCCTCATTAACGCCTCTTCCTCATCGCCGCATCAAAGCCGTTTCACCAGTCACACTATCATTCCATGAATGGTGCATAGGCCCTTTATCCACATCACCTAGGTAGTCACACTATTGTAATATCTTGTCATTTTCATTCACTGGGCATGGCTCTACTGTGGATGTGGACACACTTGACGTGTCCCCACGTCAACGCTACCAACTGAGGAGGATGCATCAAGAACGCCAGATGTAAAGTTCCTAAAAAAAGCAAAAGAAAGTGAAGAATGCGATTATTCTGCACATTTTTCTGGGTTCAGTTTCACTTCTACTGTCTTCTAAATGACTTATGAGAATATGAGTAACGGAAACGTTAATGTTCAGGCGATACAAACGTCAAAATAACTAACGCATAAGAATGGATTATATCCTTCATTCCATTTACTTTATTTAAAGAGGCAAATTTCCAATGCTTTTGCTACTCCTCCTAAACCTGTTGGTTTGGTTGGTTACCTATTAAAAGTATTATGTACCAATAGTGGCAAGTAGAGTTTGAAGTAGAGCAAATGTATTTAATTTACGATCTCCCAGTTACGTTGGCTAAGCGGACATATCACCATTATATTCGCACCAGATATTCTAATATACACTTCCTACAATAAAATTAAATAGTGAGTGAATGATGGACATCATCAAAGTGAATTAGGTGCCAAACATTTATCTCCATCAGGGATGCACTGTTTATTTTCGCACCTTAGTTCCTTAACTTGTGGTCGTGGTTCCGGTTTTGAGTACCAGCAGGATCTCATAATGCCAAAAACTCTTGCCTTACAAACGTGGCCATAATATTGTGGCGAAGGAAGAAGTCCACGTTCCGAAAGGAACTTTTGCAATTGTGTGTGCATGCAGTCTAAAATATGTTCGGATTAAAAGAAGGCAAATTTAATGGTAGTATTAATTTTGGTACCAAATGCCTTCAATTGGTTATGCAAATCAACGTCACAATAATATGGCAGGCATCATCGACATGTGAAAGTGTTAGGGCACGCCGTAGGTTTGACCCGTGGGCCATACCTCCTAGCGGAAGGCTAGAGGCGGAGCCTTAGCTGCCCCTGAATGCAGGCCAGAATTAGAAAAGCAATTTAAGCATTGCATCAGCAGTACAAATGCCAGTCACTGATTCTGCTTCCTAATAAATCATCGCTGTGACGTGTGCTTACGTCGTCTTTAAAAATACCATAATGTAATACCACTCTAATCTACAGATTTTTAAGCAGTAGCATGCAGAAACATGAGGCTTAAGTCGAGGGAATTGTAGAGCTCCTTTTTATAAATTTACCCATTCCTGAGAGCAGCCATTACGGCTCAAGTGACTTGTTAACATATTGTGTGGTCACTAAAAAATTTTCCAAATTTAGTCACGGTTCTCACCTGGTCTCAACTTAGGCACTACATAAATTGGTTTTGTTTCATAATAGGCGAACACATTATACACTTACTGAGGACCCGTACATAGATTGCAGTCAAAATACTTTTGAGAATCACTTAAATAAGAACTTGGCAAATTTTGCCGCACACAGTTTGTGATCCATCTTATTTCACGAGTTTAAGAAAGGCTAGAAGTGTAGACACCAGTCTCCTGTGAATTGGCACATGGCTGTTCTATCGTGTGAGACCATCCCTTCATGGAATGCTTTCTTCTAATGCTCCATATTTACTCATTGGTAGCTTTATTTACCACAGGATGCATTGGCAAAATTATCATCCTTAGGCAGACGCACATCTGATTGGTTACCGACCTCGACAAAAGTAGCACGTCAGCTCCAATAAGGATCCACTTGATCATGAAATATAATAAGTGGAAAACTATGGTAAAATGTGATTATCCTATGATATGTCCTCACAATGTTGAGGAATAAATGACTTAAAGCGGTTGAAAATATCAGTGCGGTGTTACCTAACTCCCTTCCTTGTAGTACCTATGCGAGATCATCTTATCTGCTACGTCGTGGAATCTATCGCGCCTCGATTCCATCGTCTGGATGGTTCTCTCCCT